TAGGAAACGTAATGTTATATTGTATAAATCTGAGAATGGATCAATCAAACTTCTATCTTTATTGGTATCTAAAATCAGGTTCTAAATCTGTGAAATATTATCACTGCTATCCTATTGATCATAGACACAATCTTCAGCACTAACTATTTGCATTTTGCCAGAAATTAAACAACAACACTTGCTTTGTAGTGGGCTTAAATCACATTAAAATGAAATTTTAGGGAAACATCTCACTAACTGCTTCCAACCTTGTTCTCGATAGCCTCCGTCATTCTCTGACATTGTTTACAAATTGTAAGTGAAACCAAAATCATCAATGTCGTTAATTTCTTATAAGTTTCAATCAGAATACATTTCATGTTGTTTCACATCTTGTTAAGTTTTTTTTAAAATCTTTTTCATAGTCTTTAAGGTGACAAATGATCCAAATGAGCGTGACACGATTTATCGCATGCCAATCGAGTAAAAGATAAAACTTATTTGCAGAATTTATGAAATTCAAATCGGATATGATTTTGTTTTATTTGGTAATCTTTTAATAAGAAACTATTTGCTGTCAAGATGAAACTCATAAGTCTTTGAAAAGACCACGTCTCACATTGTGCATGATTGACGTATGATTACTTCAAAAATTTCTTAAATAACGATCTTTATTGAGTGAGTGACACAGAACCCTTCAAAACATCTATTGGTTCAATCTTGCGTAAAAAATGCAGTCATGTTGAAGTTCTTTTTTTTTAAATAAAATGCGTTTAACTACTTTGTGTATTCTGAAATTGAAAAAATTAAATTAATCAATACATTTCTGCCCATTGAGTCACTGAAATAAACATATTATAGATGGGATCATCATCTGAACCACAACTATAACAAATGTAAAAAAAAAAGAATTAAAAATAGAAAAAAGTTAGAAACGGAGAAATATTTAATTGAAATTAACAAATGGAAGGAAAAAAGGAATTTAATTACTATTTTATTTATACTTCAATTTTAAGTAATAGATTGTCAGAAATTCAATTTTAGATGAAGTTGAATGAGTTTTATTCTGAGGTAGAAAAAAAAAAGATTTTCTCACATATATAGATAGATACATATATATTTTTATTGGGGATCGGCGAAATGGAGCAGCTGGAGAAGTATGTGAAGCTGAATGATGAGTGCATTACATTTTTAAGCTTCAGTTTTATCATTAAGCTTTGAATAATAGAAAAAGATTTAATTACCTGTGTTTAAAAGCAGTAGAAATCTTTTGTTTTATTGATGATGACGTTTAAATAAGATAACGTCATTCGTATTATTATGTTTTTCACTAACAAATAAACATTCTATCAGTTTTATATTACTATGGTTAATTAATTTTGTTGTTATCTAAGACGTTTCGCCAATGAGAATTAACCAGGTAATGATTGTTGAGTGTTAATCGATAATTGACTTAAAAATATGGTAATTTTATGGAATAGCGTATATCTATCGAATCTTTTAGCAGTTTTAATTTTTATTGTGACTATTTATGCTTTCATGCTAAAATATCGTTATATAACTATATATTGGGTTTATAGGTATATTATAAGAGAATGAAATTATAGTATATTTTCGAGAAAAATAATATTATTTGGAATTTAACGGTTAAGTTAGTTTTGGAAGAGTTAATTTCAATTCTCACCTATCTCTATATTCGAAAAGTTAATATCAGTGTAACTGTAATCGGAAACATGGTAGAATATCAATTTTAGATTACTGAATCCTGCTTTTAGGACACTGCTGTACTTTAGTGCATTTAATACATTTATTAAAGAAAGAAAAAGGTAGCACATAGAAATCAACATTAGCTAACAAACAAAGCATTCAACTCGCTTCATTTGTGTTAAAAATGAATGGTAAAATTGCTCGGTAAACAAAGCCGTATTCACTTATAGCATCGTATTGGTGCTTAAACACAATTCTGAAATTTAATTTAATTTAATTCCCATAACAAAATGAACCATCAAAAATTATTAAACTAAGAGAATAATGCAGGAAATGAAGGACGGAAAACGAGGAGAGGTCGACGTGAGCATATAAAAAAAATGAAGTGAAAACAAGCAACAAGGAAAATTAGAGAAGTTGATGAAGTAAGCAACAATGAAAGAAGTCGGCTAATAAATTTCAGCAACGATATTACTTTCATTCGAAATCAAAGAATAACAAGCATAGGGATTTTTTTCGGTTAAAATTATACATTTATCCTAAATCTTTTAATTTTTTTTACAAAGAAAGATTTGTGCAATGACTTTATGTAGGTAGAAGCAATCAGTGAACTTCAGATTATAACCAAATTTTCGGTTATTGGAACGGATTGGATGTAATAGAATGGTGAGTGAGTGGGAAGGGAAGTGTTCCATTTGAGTGATTGAGTAAATAAGCTTATAAGCAAGCAAATATAGCTTATAATGGTTTCCTATTCTTATACATTTCTGTGTTAACACTCAATTCCATTGCTTCTGATAAGAATTTTCCCACTAAACATTAATTATCCTTAAATACTTAATTCATCATAATACAAATGTTGTATACATGAACATTTCATAATCTTAGTCGATCGCTCATTTATTGATTTCATCGATGATTGATCAAAAATTTATTTCATCCCATTTCCCAAGATTTCTTATCATTTAAATATGATATTATAACAAAGAATTAGACTACACAGAAATGATTCATTGCTTCCATTCTTTTTCCCTATTACATATATTCAAACAGTTTGATGGGAATTCTTTTTGTCGCTCTTCAATTATTTATCCATCATTTCCATCATCTCATTGTTAATAATGTTTAACATAATTACAATACACTTATCATTTACTTATCATTCGTGTTATTTCTTATGATCGTTTTGCAACTTCAAATTATTTCATTTTTATTCCTTTTTGCACTTAAAATAAATACCAATTACTGAGAGTGAATAAATATGCATATCCATATCAATACTTCTCAATCATTATAAATTTATATGATTGAAATTTTTATTGAGAAATGCTGATAGCGATATATACATTTATTCATTCTCAGTTCGTTTCATTGCAATAGCAATATCACACATGTGCCACTTTTTGCATTTAAATTTCAACATTACTTTTAATTTAAGGAAAAAAGGCTTTAGATTTTTTTTCATAGGCTTTAGCTTTTTCAGCATTATTTTATTTCAGATAATTGATAGGTAATCATTTAAAAATGCAAGATTTTTTCGATAGCGATAAAAGTTTATGATTAGGTGAAGCCGAAAACATCATTCTCATTAAACTAAATTATTCTTACATTTCTTAGCATCTATATATTATTCTTCTTATTCGACGAAACAATCCGATATTATTCATCTATTGACAACATTTCTGGAAGCATACCAATTGTTTCTTAATTAATAATAAATGCATTTTCTAGTGTATAACAATTCTACACGATTTGATTGATTGAAAAAAGTTTGAGTTTGTTTGAATGACAATTATCACTTTTGTGTTTCTTTACTTCCTTTTAACGACAAATATTCATGTCATCAATTAAACCGCCAATTCATTTCTGCTTCCCATTTTATCGTTTAAGAAATGTAATCATCAATATGACTTTTTACGCTTTCTTCTAGAAGCTATTAACATTCCTTGTTGAATAAATCCAGAAAAGTTATGATCGAAATAAATATTAATATAACCCAAAGAAAAACCGATAGATCTACTTGCAATGACAGTAATCGCGGATGAGAAGAAAAATTTGAAGTTTTACTGCTTTCCATACAAACTTCTTCATCCATATTTCTCATTTCATCCTTTCACGCAGATAGTATTTTCATCATTGATCGATATTTTGAAGAACGTAAATTTTTTATATCAAAAATATTCAGACGCAAAATTTACTTATATTTTATTAAATCATTGTATATTTGATTAAGATTGTTTTATCGATCAGTTTTCATTTCATAAGCAGCATCCAATTTATTTAAGCAGGTTTTTAGTAGGACCAGTAGTAAAATGCTTTTGTAACATCCGTCCTCTATAGCTTGCTTTCTAGTTAAAAAAAAAAAAGAAGGTTAAAAAATAATAAGCAAAAAGAACTTGTAAGATGGCATTCTTGTATCATTGAGAAGATAAAAGAAAAGAAAAAAAAGTGACGAAATTTTGGAATACCAATTTAAATATTCGAAAAAGTTTCATACGAAGGAAACATGCGATTTTCTTTCTGGCTAATTACAAGTTTATGTAAATTTCGAGAAAATTGCAAAATTTCAATGGCCTTTATTCAATTCAATTAACTAGGAAACAAAAATAAGCTGGCAAGCATATTTTGAAGTTTAACTTACATTCAACAATGGGAAGATTGAGAGCAAAATGTGCTGGCATCTCATTGCTGTCTCTATGCTACTAATTGGCAAAGAACTTTTTAGTTTTATTTTAGCTACTATAGGGAAAAATTTGTCCATTTATGTGCTTAATTTATGCACATTTATGCGCATATGTGCTTAATTTGTCGACTGCTACTAAAATGCATTATTTTTTGCCTAATAGAACCGTTAGTAGTTTTTAGGGCAATTTTTTAAATGTTACACAAGCAAATTGGTTAAGCATATGCACAATTGCAAAGAAAATTTGGTGAAAATTATGCAAATAATATGCTAAGCTAAAACAAGAAGCTATTACGCTAGCTAAACTTATCTTTCCTCCATCATCTTAGTCATATTTGAATTAATTATGATATAATTCATGTACTATATTTATTTAGAGCAATAAATTTCAAATATTTGAACAAAATCATTTCTACTCTTTGAATAATTAACATTTATATGATGATTACTTTCTTCTTCACTTCCATCAATAATGAAGGAGACTGATATAAAAAATTAAACCAATTTAAATTGAATGAAATCAAATTCAGATAAAAAGCTTTATTTTTCTCTCAAAATCATTTTAATAAGATCACAAATATTTCTTAAAATTTAAATTTTGATATTTAAAAATTGCAGAGTTGCCGATGTAATGTCATTCGATATAACGGCACCGTTTCAAGCAGGATTTAGCACACGTGATCAGATAGAACATCGTCACAAAGTTCATCCTATGCAAATAATTGCTCCGCTTTCATCTCAACCTAATCGTTACAAATTTTTGGAAAATTCACTTACTTCTGTGCTTGGACATTCATCCATCGCTAATAAAAAGATATTTATCCATTTGTTTCATGAAATTTTATCTTTAAATAAAGTAATTTTCTATATAATTTGAAATGAAGTCAACCAAATTTTTGATATCCAATGTTTGCAACTTTTAAAACCAACTTTTGCTAAAGAAATACTTGAAAAATAAGAAGTATGTTTGCTAGTCGAGATACTCAGTTCGTTCATTTTGATTTTTAATAGTAAAACTTTCCAGTTATTTAATTTTTAGGTAGTAATCGTTAGTGTAGCAGGCGCATTTCGAAAAGGGAAAAGTTTTCTACTCAATATATTCCTTGATTATTTGTATAGTTTGCAAAAATCACAGCAGGTAATTAGTAGAGTTTCGATTGAATTTAAAATCATTTTATTAAATAATAAAATATATCCTTTTCGGTTTGATTTCAATTTTTTGTTTTAATTTATTTGTTTTATAGAATGAGACAGCTTTGGAATGGCTTCTGGATGATTCGCACTTAGGAGGCTTTCATTGGAGACCCGGGATGAAGCGTGACACCTCGGGAATTTGGATCTGGGGTGAACCGATAATGATTGAAGCAGCTAATGGTGAAACATACGCTGTTGTGTTGGTTGGTTGAAATTTGAAATTACTTCAACATTTTTCAAACGTATATTAATCTTATTTAATTGAAATTAAATTTCTTTTTTTATCGAATAAATTTTCATTAAATCGTGCACCAACCCAAATTAAAAGTAATTAGGACCATCATTACCGGCATATTTTTTCATCATTCTATTATTTTTAATTAAAATTTAAAAAAATCACAGCAAATGCACATATTACAGATGGATACACAGGGAACAGTTGATAATGCAGCATTATCATATCAAATGTCTGGTACTATATTTGCACTATCAACCCTATTCAGTTCCCTACAAGTTTACAATATAGTAGAGACGATACTTGAAGATTCACTAACAAATTTATCACTTTTTGTTGAATATGGACGATTAGTGCTGGATGAATCTACCAAGTGCAAACCACCTTTTCAGGTTTCTAAGCATTCTTTTTACCTATTAACAATTCAATGATAAATCTTCCATTAAAAAAAAGAACAAAATATCATGAAAGACTCTTCACTTAACACCAACATAGTTCTTACTGCATATAGAAATAAATGAGATGTAAAAATTAAAAGATCAATTTTTAAGTACCAAATTTTGAACAATTTTTTTCTAAAAATTTTAACAAAATTCACCAAGATGTGAATAATAAACTATTTTAATTTATCATATTTTATCGATAAAATTTTTCACTTCAATTAGAACTTGAAGAAGAAAGAAAAAAAATCAAATTTCAGACAATCGTTTTCGTTGTTCGAGATTATAAATCATCTGAAGAATGTTCATATGGATTTGAAGGTGGAATGGATTACCTCAAAACAATGCTCCAAACGTCATCGTCTCATCAGGTTTATCCTATTTTTTTTCCAATTTTTTTTGATGCTCAAATAATTTAATTCCTTTTTTTTTATTTTGCTTAAGAAGTAAATTGTAGAAATTGAGTGATTTAGCATTAAACATTTATTTTGTGTCCAAATTTTTTCAGTCTAATGAACTGAAAGCTGTTCGACAGGAAATTCAAAATTGTTTCGAACAAACACTATGTTTTTTATTACCACATCCAGGTCATCGAGTTGCAGATCGTGAATCCTTTAAAGGACTTGTGAAAGGTTTTATCGCCTTCATCTTATAAATGAATTGAATTGATCAAAATTAATCATTTTACAAAAAAAAATCGATAATCTAAAATTTTGAAAAAAAACCGTTAATTAACAAATAAAAAATAAGCAGAAAAATATTTACAGATATAAAGCCGTTGTTTAAAGAGGAGGTGAAAAAAATGACAGCACACCTTTTAAATCCACGAGCATTGCAACCAAAAATTGTTAATGGAAAAACGGTCACATGCAGGAAAATTACGGATATGTTTAGGGTCTATTTTCATTTCAATTTTTTTTCTATAAAAGTTCAATTTTATGTAGAGAAATATAAAATTGCAATCGTTGGGAAAGAATGAAACGAATGGTAGAAAGAAGTAAGATAAATTGAAATGAAGTGAAAACTGTAAAATGTAAAAAGATTTCCAGGAGTTTGCCAAAACATTCGACAGTTGTGTAATACCGGAACCACAGATGATTTTAGACACAAATGCCCAATTGATATATTTGGAAGCAGCAAATGAAGCAAAAATAGCATATATCCGAGGAATGGATCGGGTAACAGTCGCAATTCCTAAATGATGCATAAAATTCAAATGATTTGCTGTAACAATAATTCCATCATTCATATCATCATAGTATAAGTTACATTACATACGGGATAATGTAATATTTGTAAAAATTTGTTTGAATTTAAAAAACATTTTCTTTTTTAAAATAATTGGAAATATTTTAGATTTGTTTAAAATCAGGAATGCTACCGGAAAAACGACTCCATGAAGCACATATTAAATATGGTATTATAGCTTTGAATATTTTCGAAAAGTATCCAAAAATTGGAAGCAGCGAAGTTCGATCCAGAAATCTCTCGATGCTACAACAAAATCTAAATGTAAATATAAAAAAGAACAAAAAATCAATGAATTAAACATAACACATAGAAATTATTAATTCCATCTTTATATTTCAAGTTTCTACCGTTTGAAATATCATTTTATTAAGTTCAACAAGAACGTTTTCCATGATTTCGATGTTATTGCAGAATGAATTGGAAAAATATAAACGATTAAATAAAGAAAAACGTGTGACAAGTTGCGTGTCGCGCATGATCGCATGTGGTGACTCCGTATTTTTTGGTATGTCTTATAAAATTACAAAA